TCAATGACGGATAGAGCGTAAGGCCCAGAGTGATATCCTCCGATGTTCTGACTCCGTTAATCTTCACTTTGTTCTTCGAAAATTTCAGGGTACCAGACAGAAAATTGAGACAAAGTGCGTTTTAATTAGAAAACAAGGTATCTGTAATATTAGATTTATCGTTTTTGTTTCCCTAATATAATTTCTACCCTTTCGTCTGTCAAAATAGATACTTCTCGTCCTAGCTTCATCTGGAGCAAATTAATCCGTTTGTTCCATTCCATTTGGTGTACCCATGTTAGAGCGTCCATTAAGGTTTATTATTTTGTCAAACGCGGTCTTTTTGTGTTCGCGCGTGTGTGATACGGCGCGATTTGATCGTGTCCACGTTTGTACTTTGGCGTACAATCACGCACGACTTTTCATACTCGAAGCCGTCGAAAATATACACTTAGGAAAATACAAGTCGAGTCCATTAAATACTTAGGTGCAGATTTCCGATCTTCAATAATTCCTCGCTTTTATAAAAAAAAAAGAATTACCGTAAACATACCTGCACGGTATCCGTTACAGATATTTAAAAAAAAGTTTAATTGTTGAAGTGTTAGAATGATTTATTAGTTGTTTCAAAAAGCAGAGAAAATTACACAGCATTCGTTTTAAGTTTAACAGTTTGAGATATTGAAAACGTTAACGCTTGAAGTGTAGAATTTCACGAGTCTGAATAATGATGTGGCCTCTGTGTATTTAAACAAAGAATGGCATTCGTTGTTAAAAATATATATCTGCGTAGTTTAAATTGTAAAACTGTATCTTATTATAACCCATAATCATATCACGATGGAACTGCGTGAATTAGTAATGTACATTTGGAGAGGTCGTTTGCTTTCCCAGTTCTAGTTAAGATTTGTATTATCACCTAATAACGTACAATCCATATACATACTGGTACCTTCAATACACATGCGTATAACTCCGCAAGGGCAACTTTGAAACTAAATGTATAATATTATGTGCAGGCTTCCATCTTACAAACACTAAATTACGTCAACCCAAATCCTTTTCCAATCATCTTTGTAAATAAACCAGCGTAATGCATATTCATAGAAGCAGCACAAGTAAACTGATGTATGAATATTCATGAACTTGAATCCGAATCCACTGCACGGAAATATCGATACATGCTACTTTACACGTGCACATCATATCGATTTCATTGAAATGTATTGTCTATTTTCTTTCACTGGTAAAGTATGGTAATAAAAAATGCTACCCCGTGCCCAACACTTTATTTAAACACGATTCAAGCTAATAGTTTTAACTCCTCTGGACACAAAAGCAGATGTTGCCATTGCTCCTAGCGATGCCTACCCCTCTCTCGAACCCCCAACGCTTGCTCTCCACTTCGCCCCGCCCCCCTGCCTGCGTCTTCGGCCTTCTGGACACTGTCCACTCTGCAGTGACCAAGGCGTGGCCATCCATCACCGATTCGTTTCGCTCCGTGTCAGTAGTCAAGAGGCCATCTTTGTTTAAGATTTCAATGACAGATTATAATTTGATACACCGCCTGGGACTAGACTTTGGACACATATGTCTATTTAAAGTCTGCCCATCTGGAACATGGTATATGCCAGTGGGATATATGTTTTCAAATATATTCAAGATGAATAGTATTTATATATTGTTCGTGAATCTTAAAACTATTTTCCATAACATGACCCATCTTTGAAATTCAGGGAATTGAAATGGATTTGATATGTAATTTTTGTTTCCAAAAAAATGTGATATGTGGTATGTGATATTCATGATGTTGACATTGACGAAATTGACAAGGATGCGGCAAAAGGGAAAAAGATATATGTTTTCATCATGATTAAATTTGTTGTTACCAGTAATGCTAATCATGGGGAAGATAGGCTTGAAAGTAAGACGAGTGATAATGATTTTCAGAAAAGCATGTGTGTGTGTGTGTGTGTGTGTGTGTGTGTGTGTGTGTGTGTGTGTGTTTTAATTACCTACCCACGAGTTGATGTCATAATACTTGTATCAACTGGTAATTATAGTTTTCTGGTATTTGGCTAATATAGATATTACTAACACCATTGTGTACATAAATTGAGCCAAATAAACTATGATCATTCAAATCATTAAAAATTAGCGGTCGATCATTATATTACGTTGTACTTTTTGCGGGTCATTGACGAAGAATATAGTATTCACATTCAAGTTAATATTGCTGATGAATAATTAATAATCGTTTCATAACATTTGGAACACATGGATTAATCCTGTAGTGCATATGTATATTTACTTTCCCGTTCACCTGTGTATATTTCTACTATCAATGATTGATTTATAAGATATACAGTATCAGATATTTGTGACAAAAAATCAAACTTTAACCCCATGAAATAATTAGTTTCAAAGGGAAATGTTGTAAAACTCTCATAATAATTAAGTTTCATTTACATACGCTGATTCTTATATCACATACACAGTGTCACAGAATTAATGTCACATACAACTGAAATGTACACGTGTCGATTTCATGAAAGGCAAGTGTGTACATTAAGAGATATAGGAGATATAAATCGGTGTATCTTCCTGGGATAAAGAAAACACAAGCTGTTCGTTCCCTTGCTATGAATTGGATATTTCCCCTATCCTATATAGACAAACAATGAGACAATTTTGTTACCAACTGTTTTATTGCCCAGAGCTATATGGGGAGACAGTTTATCGGATTAATATGTCATATTTTAATCCCAAATGACAAAGGCTACTTTGTCTGAACACGTTCAAAGAAAACACTCCGTATTCCCCTAGGCACATGTTTTTCGTATCAAGTCAGTTGGGATGGTGTTTTTTATACTCAAAGTTTCATGTTTCGGAAATGATTTTTTCGTGAACGTATGTATTTTGCATTAAGGGCCTGGATATAACAGGTTCGCGGAAGAAAAGGTTTAGTGGTTTTCAAGAAGGCAAAAAATGCCTCAAATTACAGGCAAATGAAGTTATTTTACAAAATATTGTGTTAGTAGACTCTGAGTGAATAAACTGGTGTGCCTTTGTTAGAACTTATTTGCCAGCATTTTGGTAGGCATAAAATAGTATTTATTACTCATAGCTTTAAAAAAGTGACAGAAACATCGCTCCTTGTGTTTATATTACAAGTTTGCAACAACAATACTCGTGTTGATGTTTAATGCTTACAGGAGATAAACGTCTCAGTGAGTGTAAAAACGCCAATAAATAAAATTCAGCATTAAATGCAAAGGATGATGTGTTCTTTAGTTCAGTGAATTTACTTTTTAATGAATGATGTGTCAAGTTTAACAAGTTTATGGGATAATGTGTGTTTATAAACAATGTTTGTAGCATGGATAAATCAATATTATTCAAAGTGATTGTTTTGTTAACAGAATTAGCGTTCGATAGTTGTCGGTTGTGAACGGACTTACATTCATGATGGATTTTGTCAATTAAAATACGTACATTATATTTATATAAAATATTTATTTTCAATAACAAATCGCATGCAATGAACAGTTTTACCGAAAATTCAGTTATGATTGTTTACGATAATAAATGATTTTATTTTTATTCAATAAAATAGGTACTTCGAACAGAAAACAAACAGATAAAGATATAAAACGGCACCAGTCTAATGCATATTTTAAAAAATATTTGAAATGTTCTATGAAAATAAATAGGACATTACTGCAATCAGAGGACGTAATACGGGAGGTTTTAGTGACTTTGGAAAATTTCACCAGTTTCACATAACGCAATGAGCACATATTCCCAGGTCGTATTTCTTCCAGCGTTGACAAAACACGATCATAATTGCCGATCACAATTCGGCGCATGTTAAATACAATCGGTGATTTGCAGCGACGACGTGGCTTTTAACATGAAAGCATTTTTAATCAAGTTTTAAATTGTGTAATTAAACAGATATGGCAAAAATTCAAATTTTATCGCCCGTAAGCTAAGTTTTATGCGGAACTTCCGAAACATTGAAAGTCACTCAAAAATTAAAATTTTCTCGATCCTTCTTTTGTTTGCATATTTTTCAAATTCATAAGGATGTCTGCTTCGAGAGTTGACACTGCAGCCTTAGGCTGTCGAAACATTCAACATGCATTGTATAATACAGGCAGATGCAATGATAACGAGAAGCAATGACGTTAGACTATTGTGCATATGATAATTTAACTATACCATGCAACAAATGGGTCGAATTATTTCGGCTGCAAATTTAATGTGACAATCACATAATTATCACTTCGCTCTTCTATAGCCATAAGAATCATCATGCACAACACAAAATAATAACATAATGAAAATAATAATTAAATACTAAATATTTATTACCTTAATGTCGTTGTTTCCGCTGATGAAAGTTTTGACAGAAAAATTTTAATTTTGTTTTTTTAATTTCTACTTTAGTTTTGTGATATAATTGTAAATGGAATATTAGGTACATAATCCCATTAAAACATTGTTGTCTGTTCCAGTGGCCCCGTAGGAAGGGGAAGATGCTAGCTATTTAACAAACTCAAGACTGTAGCGTTTACTGTGTAACGGGAAAGGCGGTTTATGGGCTCGACATAAGAAGTGTTATGTCAATACCCTCGTTTTAATTGAGACACTCTTACCTCACACGCTTTAGCACTTGTCCAGTTAAAGAATGCGTAGTTAGGACACACTGACCAACACACAATGACCACTGGACTGGTCAAGTTGCCTTTTTCTGCCACAATAGACTTGTAACGCTCACCCCCACTGAGCTCAAATGTGTCGAAAAATCACACAATTCACTTTTAAAACTCTTTTCAAAATCCTAACTAGAAGCTTACGCAAAGACTGACTGGGAATTTGTCCTACGTTTCTAGAGGGTAGGGTATTTAAAGGCAAGTTTTGTCAGGCTGGGCAATTTCGTTGATTTATATGGTCTTAGAATAATTGATGTCGATTTCATAGCACTGAAATGTCTCTCTCCACGTGTTCCTTTGCAGATCACTGTAAACAGAGCGAGAGGCGAGTCGGCGCTGATTGGTCGACGCGGAGTCACGTGACAGTGTTGAGTCGTAACATGCAGTGATAAGTTGGGGCTTAACTATGTCTGCTGCCCCTCAGAATGAAATAAAGTTTGGAATTCGAAAGATGCAGAAAGGCTATTGTGAACAAATGCCGTCTTACCAAGGTTTCTACCCATCCGAAAGCGGATATAAGTATGACAATTCGTTCAACTACAACTCGGGCTGTCCTGAGTCGACTGGCTACTACAGCTCTACTAGTTGTGCAGTGCAAAACCCTGCGAGTCAGGCTAACGGGGACACATGTATGCAAGATTACAACGATTCACAGTATAATAATTCCTGTATGCAAAACTCGTCCCTTCCTTGTGGACCAGGGGTGAACAATCTTCACCCGAATGCGTCTATCAAACAGGAGATATATCCATGGATGAAGGAATCAAGACAGAACTCCAAACAGCGACAAAGCGTTGCAGGTAAGTTCCGTACTGAGTGATGTATTGGTCGCGAGTCCTAGGTTGGCAATAAACGCGTAACTAGAACTATCTAATGCCAGTCGGTGATCGCCAGTGCTATTAGATGAATGACGCAGCACTGACAGAATGATGCGTCAGCCGCGCAAGAAGGTTTAAACACTTAGAGAGTTTTTTTTACAGTGTAAATGATTAATGAGATTTAGATTGTGCCGCTTGCATTTGTTTTGGTTTCGACTGGCTAAATGTCGGACAGAATGACGAACGATGTGTTAAAAATCTAGACTGGGAAATTCCCTATTTTGGATAATTTCCTCCGGTTAAATGAATTCAATTGCACTACTATATAGGCCTTACTGCATGTGTTCTTAGTAATGTCAATCAAATGTCATGTCAATATCAGGATGTTAGGAACGTATAACATCTATCACAAGAGTTAGAATTTTGTTATTTCTGATTTTTTTATATATGTGAAACTGTCATTGATTTCTCGTCTTGGGTTGACAGTGTAATTTAGAACTAGCTTCAGAATTCTCAGTTACCACGATAATCAACACGTGGCTTATTAATGTACACTGAAGCTGCTCTTGTTAAAGAAATATCGTTACATGGTGATAATGATTCAAATATATATTGAAATTCATAAATATATCCTACCCTTTTTCATTATTTTGAATATTATGTGTGTAACTTCATCCATCTTACAATTCAGTGATAAATCATAGTTATTCAACAATATTTATCCTTGATGATATCCTTTGTCAAAAATGATAAAATGGCAACAATAACATGCTTTTTCATAACTTTCCCGTATGACTGACTACATTTCCATGCGATGACTTTATACACACACTTCATATCTTAACTTTACACGCATAATTCGTTAATGTATGTTTTAACAAGTATTAAATATATTATCTTTTTTATTATTATCCTTTACATAAAGGACTCCTACCTTAATATAATATAATCATAACATAAACTCACTGAGGCAGAATGACAATCGTTTATAATGCTATAACCTGAGATCATATAAATCAGCCTTTATCTCATATTTATGTATGTATGGCTGTTTTATCGAAACAAATTTGCTCCGGCAAATTTACCTTAAAACCATACTGGTAACCGTCTCATAAGGCTTAGCGGACTGGTCCGAGATTTATGTTCCGTCCTAATTTAGCGATCGTAAATGGTTGTCTCCTAAACGATAGTGAGTCCCATTTTCCCCCTAAATGCCTTAAAACACCCTGCTACCGCCTCGTCTCCCTATCTCAGCTCTTGGGGGGATTTTCTCCCCATAACATTTAGCTCACTCGAACGCAGTGGAGCAGATAAACTTGAACGCTGGTCACATAAATTTTTCATCGCGTGAATATAAAAATGTCAAAGACGCAATTAGAAGCGTAATTCCACCTCTAAGAGATCACTCCATCAGTGTGGTGTATATTTCTCAGAGAAAACTTATACCGTTCAGCACTTAAATTTACCTGACTTTAATTCAAAATACGTGTCAAAATAAATCTGTTGGGTTGATGTTATTGTGTGTTTTCATGGGTAGGATTTTGCTTTGACGATGAACAAAAATGTGACTTCTTTTATGGCAAATTGGGCCAAACAGGAGTTTCATAAAGGTAACATAAACAATATTCATTGTGTAAGACATTGAAGTTATTTAAATATTCATGTTTATATTAGTTGGGCTATATATCAAATTGTCACATAGTCATATATACTTTTGTTTCGCAAAATGTCATTTGTAAAGTATGTGTAATATATAATTTTACAAAAATATAAATGTTCCAGATTGTCGTGGAAGGCTTACTCAATATACATACTACAGGTCAGCCTACAATATAGATACAAATCTTGTCAATTTTTAAAGCTTTATATCTTAGATGACTCATAAGTGTAATGTACAACAATGCATTTCAATCAAATTTACAGAAGGCATTGGAAACCGTTTCATTTTATCTGTCTGTGTTTGTTTCCACTGAGAACCTGCACATGTTTCTAGCAGTTTATGATCCCTGCATGCCTTCGTTTCTTTACACCAGTGTCTTATTTGTGTAATGAATGACACAGTTGTGTCAATATGCATGCTGGTGAACAAAAACTGTCAATAATAGAAGCAGATGTCAATTTCGTGTCAATATCACTTCCTCTCACCACGTCTTATGTATACAAACCATGAACGAGCTGGAAAACATGTGTGTTACATGTAGGTATCATGCAATGCGTTAACATAAAGCATTATCCTCTGCTCAAAATACATCTTGAATAAGCATTATCTGATTTTCAAGTATAACACAAAGGCCATTGATAAACATTTATTCAAACACGCTGTAAGTAAAAAGCATGTTTTTGATAATGAATACACTCGAAACCAAAATAAAAATGTTGTTTCTTCGCTGTTGTTATTTATAAGGCATTTTCGGAGCGAGTTGAATTATTTCTGTGTAACATGTATGTTAATATTTCTACCGTACTGCTGGTTGAGCCGATTCGTTACGTACGTACGCCGATATATTACATGGATTGCCACTTTGATAAACAGAAAAGGAGTGCCCCTTTATAGGAGTGTACGGTATAGGAATAATGAAATATTGTAAAAGTAAGATTCCTTCCCTTTTTCATCGTAATTCACCCCCAAAATGTACTTCAGTGAGGCATGTCAATCTTGTGTATTCGATGCTATCATTCCAGGATCACTCAGTATTAAACAAAGATAGCGCATCTTGCAACATTCTTTCTTTTGAGGGGCAGTATTTTTGAAACATTTTCGCCTGTTCTGACTGGGTTTATAAATAACCTCTTGGATCTGGGCTGGACTGATATGACAGAAATTGTAAGTCTGCAAACACGCTGTTTCAATTAAAGAACGCCGCTTCGTCAAAAACAAACTTAAAAAACGGACGATTCAGATAAACGTGTTGCACTTCTTGTTATGTGATTCCGCGAGATAAAATAGTTCTTGTCTCCAATCCCGCTGTCAGTGAGTCGGCGGAGCGATCTACGAGCAGATAGTGCCTCTACTGTCAGATAACATTCTCTGAAGGTTCCTTGACAACCAGTATTGGATTTGGGAACTTTCGACTTTGCTACACTAGCTATAGTCTTAGTACTGTGCATGCCAGGCACATCATCTGATAACCCTGCCTTAGGATCCACGATGCCAGACAGGAAAGTAATGTACCAAGGAAAACACTGGTAGCTTTTACCGTTTATGGAGGAATGATAAAAAACTAAGTGAACATTTAAACACAGAACAAGTATAAGATATTTGAGAAAGTTCAAATTTAAGTACATCTGAAACAGTGGTATATTGTATCATGAATATGAATAAAAAATAATTATAACACTAAAAAACATGAACCACAAGCTGAAGTAAGTATGAAAGATAGTATATTTCTTTTATCAATGTGAAATGACTTTTGGATGTATATATTCTATAATAATGTCTGTTATGAAGCAACGTCAATATACTGCAATATTTAATCTTATGTTTGGGATCTTACAAATACATAAGGATTTTACTGTCACTGTTAAATGAGATATAATTTATATCGAATCTGTAATTAATATCTCCCCTGCCTACATATTGTAATAATCTGTAAACCAAGTGCTGGTCATGTAAATGAAAGCGACCAAATCCTTTCAATAATCAAAACAAAAAGCTGCACCGAAATAACGTTTAAAAATCAGTTTCCTTCTGTATATTAGTTATTCTTCATCTACGTAACGGTCTAATATAATAATAATCCATTCAAAGATTCTTTATGATGAAGTCTGTTCATTTTTATCCGTGTCAGTTCTTCCAAATACAACCCTGTGGAATGAATATTAATGAACTTTATATAAGGGTAAATTCATCAGATTCTGAGTGGAGCAGAAAGACGTATTCTCTTTCTATTTTGATGTACTAAGGGCGATGAAACCACAAAACTCAAGGGGTGGCCCACATGACAAAATATAAAAGTCTGTTATTGCAGTGAATAATGCATTACTTTCCACGAAAAAAGAGGAAAATTCGTTATTATTCAAAGCATTCATATTTTCCCTTCCACCTCGAGCTACCCCGGACGAAAAAATCTATAGGAGGGTTTGATTATGCAAATATATGACTGTTTTGACTCAGGCAGATATGAAATGAGCGCCAACCATGTGTTACAATCCATAGTAATCTATACCTGTCATTGTTTAGTAAACTATGGAATCACTGCTCGATCAACGGCCGCTGGCAGATTTCAGCTATAAATTCGCGTGAAGGATGTTTCGCCTTTCTCCTCTATACATTCTATGTAGGTGACAAGTACCGTGATTTTATGTACTTTCATAATAAAAACATCACAGACAATACAGTCCAGATGGGAAGTAACATGGCATGGTAATTATCGATAGACCATGCCAGATTCAATGTTGACTATATCGGGAAATTAATAAAATATCATGTATGTTTTCAGTCTGAAGATGTTGCATTTATAACAATAGGTAAAATACTCGGAGCTGTACGTTTGAATCTAATAACCACTCCAGCGCTTCTGAGATCTCGGTCCAGGCCGTTGATAGCGTTATTCCCATGTTGAAAAGATTTGAATAACTTATCAAGGCATATGATATATAAAACTATGGTAAGTGAATATAACCGTACAAAAACGTGATAGATTAGTGACTCAGTTTATTGCGCCTTATCAACAACAACAACAACAACAATAATAATAATAATAATAATAATACAAAATGTACAGAAATGTACAATGAATGTTTATGTAAAAAGGTGTGTTATAAAATTTAGTTGAAAAATTGTCGAATAACCGAATTTACCTGTACACACTATTACGCTTATCTGACCTAAACGAGCTGACTTGCACAAAAAGTCTCCACTGTTACTGGAGTCAAGACTCCTCACAACCCACTATGTCTGGGGTGAACGTGCCACCAGGAGCTATGGTTCAGTGAAGATACAGAAAGACCACGGAGCTAAATAGGTTAAGGTGTTCATTTCACTCAACAGCTGGGCAAGAATGAAATATACATACACTGACCTTAATCTATTTCGCTATTGTACTGTCCACAGTATTAGTAACCGTTCATGAGTAAAAGTTGACATCTTGTTTTGACATCGTGTTCCTTATTGATGTATGTTGTCAATATACAAGCGATTAACCAATGAATGAAATCTACATGCGATACCTTCACTCTGTAAACGATAGATATATAGGGCAAAGAAATAGAACCGTGTGATGGACAAGCAGTGTCAAGTTGTTTTTCTGTCTCTGTCGGTGGAAATAATATATATCTATATGACAGACACGTAAATGCCAGCAATGCCAACGTCCTGTATAATGTATAGAACGTGTAACTTGTACATATTTAAATAACAATTGTTAACTTAAGAATAATTATGAATTGTTGATTATATATTGATTGAGGTATATTTCATTATTTAAAAAACTTCAATCATTCTAAATAAGAAAAAAATTCTGGTTTATTTCATTTAGTGACACTTCGATGTAGATTCTTACACTGTTATCAAGCGTGGTTATCGTTCAGATCAAAATTACGAGAGCAATGACATATGCTTACAGCTAAAGTTATCACGTTACGTTTAAAGGTGAATATATAAGGTTTTAAGTTCATTGTGGAGATACGTTTTTATGAAAAGTATGACAGTGGGCACTTTTGCACTACACGATCTACAACATACGAAGCCGTCTTGTATCCCCGAAGAAGCACTCTGTGTAGGTCAGCTTGTCCGAGTGCCATTCCTGATGTAAATTTGAAACGAAAGAACAATAGCGATTACCACGATAGGGTTATCTGCTTTAGACGAATGTCTGTTCATGTGAAATTCATTGGAGAACCTGCTTGTCCTTTCAGAGCCTACGAAGCGAGCCCGGACAGCCTATACTAGCGCTCAACTTGTCGAATTGGAAAAAGAGTTTCATTTCAATCGGTATCTCTGTCGGCCGCGGAGGATAGAAATGGCGGCGTTATTGAATCTGACGGAGCGACAGATAAAAATATGGTTCCAGAACCGACGCATGAAGCACAAGAAGGAGTCGAGAGGAAAAGGCTCGGACAAAATGGCTTCCAAATCCGAAGGGAGTTTTTCAGGGAGTGATTCGGAGAACCATGACTTGTCAGGGGACGGGATGAAACCCCCCACCCCTACCGGTTCTCATCGTCTCATCCCCACCCCTGACCACCAACCCCCCTGTGACCAAACCCTCGGTATGCACCCTCAGCAAAGACCGGGGAGTCAAGGCAGCATGGCCAACCCCCCTCAGGTTAGCCCCTTGCCCCAGAGAGACAGCCCATCCTTAAGTATGAAACATTCAGGCGGGCAGTCAAATCTCAGTCCCTACCCACAGAACACTCAAGTGCCGTACCCCCCGAACGGACAATACATGCAGCATTCTATGCCCCCAACGAACAGGGCTTACCATGGAAACGGGATGATGATGACGGGTGGTATGTACCCCGATGTACAACACATGGACAATGCTAACCAGGGACACTGTATGACGTCATCACTTCCCATGATGACGTCCCAGATGAGTTGCTCAATTGCTTCGAATGGGTACAATCAGGGGTCGTATGATTATATCCCCAAACTGACTCACTTGTAGACGGAAGTTTAATTTATTGCCATCTATTTTTGAATGATTGAAATAACTTGTTTTATGTGTGTATGTTGCATGCTTTTAGACAATAGAGATTAGCGAAATCCAGTTATTGACAAGGACGATCCTGAAATATATTCGTTTTGAAACCAATCCCGTGGCCAAATTCAGACTATTATTTATCCAGAGGTAACCTGAATATATGCATCATATATATATATCTTTGTTGATCGTAGTCACCTAGTGTAGATACAGTAGTCATGTCTATAGTTTGATTGTTCTGAAATGGACATGACAGTCTAAACAAGCTCCATGACAACGTGTTGTAGTTTTCATGCCATAATACTCAGTCGCGTTTCTGCTCAACGATAATAACAGCCACGATAGGGCTGTATATTCAGAGTGAGTGAGTGAGTGAGTCTGGTTTAACGCCGCTTTAAACAGTATTTCAGTTATACTGTGGCGTGTGAGGTCTTACATGTTTACCATTTTGGTGGAACCATGAGCACGATGGTGCTGACAAATATGGAAACATAATCAGGGCGAATCTGGTATTCGAACCCACGATCACAGGTTACTGGCGTGCCAAAGGGAGGCAACTCTGCGTCTTAGTCCTATGGGCCACCAAAACCAATGTTGAGAGATATCCCTCTACAGCGAATATCATAGTACATTTGCAACACATATCACAAAGTAAGAGCGACAAAATACTTTCCATAAACCACGTTTTTACACAATTTACGTTATTATGATTAACATTGATACCCTGATCTACGTCAGTTTCAAATCGTTTAAACATATAACTTGGTTCTCCAACCGGTGTTGCATTTGTTACCTATTTTTTAATGAAATGCAAATATATTCCGATAAAGCGTCCAGATGATATCATAATTTATTTTAAGGAAAACTTAAACAAACGTATTTTTTGTAACGTTTTGAGGGAGACAGTCTGACGCTTCATGTCGCTTCGCAAGCTCAGAAAAGGTAACAAGACTTTGATGGTCTGGGTATTGTCAATTCTTTTGTCAGCATCGCGTTTGAAATTGCTTCTAAGTCTTAGCGTGGTTGTCTAATGTAGGTATGTAGGTAATATAAGCGCCGGCGGCCCATTTACACCTGTGCGAATTGACCCCACAGATGAGCTCAGGCGTGGTACTAATCGCCCTCTTTGATCTGCTGGGAAAATGAAGTACAATGAAATCGGGGTCTAATCCTGTAATATCGCTCTTATAAACGAATTAGCTTTGTGACCTTTTGTCGTCTATTTGATTGTTTTGAACGAAGTAAGACCGGCAGGATGATAGGGGCTTTTGAGCAGAGGACTAATTCAGGCGACCAGTCGCCCATATCTTTATTGAAAGCACGCGCGACATTTGGGACCGTTGTTGGACGAGAACAGACAATTGGGTGAAATTGGTCGGGGAATTTCGAACTCAGGAGTCCATTCATCGATGACGCAATCAAACGCCACCCGACATATTGGACAAACAGGCGGGTGGAATGAACATGCGCATTACAGCTGCTTTCTGTCCAGCGGATAATGAAAAGCCAAACTTTGATCACTCGGGCGAAAAAAACCGAAACGTGATTCAATTAAAGGTATACCCCGTTATAGAAAATTTCAAAGGCTAAATCCTTTTGTTAAAAACCCCCAAGATCCTTTCCTCTTAATTTGACAATTATTGAAACTCGAAATTCGATACACTCGCTCCGTGATCTGGAGCGTTTATTACCTATTAAGTCTAACGGGATCCTGTAGTGAATAGAGGGTACACTGTGATCGTTCTTCGCAGGGGGGCAAACAAGTGCTTACTGACGTAATAAGTGTGATCTAAATGAACCAGGGAAAATTGACTAAATAAGGTCATGCAGGTTTATTCACAGACCAAGCCCTGTTACAGCATAGGAATCATCAGGCGAATATGTCACGTGTGGTCCTATTTGTGTCATGTCTGGCAACCGGTAATAATTACCACATTTATCATGGATAATTTGAAATCCATTAACGTTTATCCCCATGACAAACATGTCAATGCTCATGTAACTATTTCATGACAGAATATTTCTATTCGGGCTCGTGGCAAACGGAATTTCGATATCCACATTTTCTTTCAACAATGTTCATTTTCATTTGATGTTTTAATTAAGGAACATCCTCAATGAATTTGTTGGTAAAGTGTTTACATAAATGTATAACTAACATGGTAATTACAAATATGAAATCACTACCCGTGAACCATCATTATACCACGTGTTAATTTTTAATAATTTACTAACGTGCTTTTCGTTAATTTCGTCACCCCAACAAAACCCATTTCTGTGTTATATTCCCGTATTCATGTATTTGGGATTCTAAGTCCTTAAAGGCAACAGGAGCAAATAGCGTCGGGAAATCAGGGTACTCTATAGATTAGAAGCCATCGCTGTTATATTGAGTTTGTTTCATTTGATAGATACATCTTGTGCCTATACCCCACCCCCACCCTCCACAATTAGTGTAGTGTGTCAAATGTTTGCATGGTAAAAGTAGCGGCATCGAACTATTAGATTGATTTTTTGTGTTTCAATTATTTGTATACGAAATATGGAAAGAAATTGTGATATTTTTGAGTTTTTAAGTAAAAATATGATCAATGATATTCACTTGTTTGTTTTGTCTAAACTGTGCATGAATTGAACTGTTAATGCTCCATCAGGGCACATCGCTAAATCAGCAACACCCCGAACGAGTGTAGTGTAACACTTCGGTACACTTAATTTTATGACACACCTTAGCATTTATATATGGATGCACAGGTGAAAGGTACGGCGTGTTCTTGCGTGACCGTTATGCTACACAACGATTGCTAAGGTCTGAAAAGGACAACATGGCAAAAAAGCTTCTTGATCAGGTGTCGGAAGATACGCTGACAAGGCCGTCAACAAGGTTATGACGTGAGAGGTTATCTCCGAACTCAGATGACATCATCGGCCATTCGGTCATTCCAAACGGACAACCAAAATGGACTCCAGTCGCTCTTCGCCACGAGAGTGTTCTCTTTCCTCGTTAAAATACCACAAGAGCGAAGAGCCCATGTCCAGCAAATATTGATCGGTCTTCTATGTAGACAGACGTATAGATATTGTCAATATCGCTGTCAACAAATACAGACACGCATATGGGAAGTGCCAGCATGTGTAAGCATATAATACCACTCCCAAGAATAACGAATCACTTCAAAATTAATTTGATACACTGAATTCAACACGTCCATTAAAATTTCCGTGTCGAGATCAGTAGACTACAATGATGGTACGATGGCTGGACAGGTTTACTCTTTTCGCGAACACCTGGGCCCACTTGCACAAAACGATCTTAGCGCTAAGACTATTGTAAGCCTATGTTAAAGTATGGGAGTTAAGATCATCTTAGCACTAAGATCGCTTTGTGCAAGTGGGCCCAGGTGTCATCGGGGATTTTCAGGGATCCATTCATATAAATGTTACCGCTTTTTGCCTTTAACGTCCAATGCAATCTGATTCGTCAGATAATCGAGACTGGTTCCTCTCTGGCGTTGACGTTCTGTATGTACAGTACTTTCTAGCTATGCATAATGCCTACTATATACCGCTTGTGAATACACAACGCACACACTGTACACCTCAATCAGCTTAATACAACAATGCTTTTAGCTGTTATTTTTTTAAATCAGACGAATCACGAGATGTTGAGTCAGTACATCTCTCTATATATACGCCTGTCAACATCATACAATCTTTGTTATATTCTTCCCAAATAGCTTCTTTAGAACTTGGTTTGTATGACTATATATGTAATTGTAAATCCACAAAACCCGCAGCCCACAGAACGGCCTACAACAGGTCACTATGTTGACGAATGGCCACAATGTCTTTTTCAGAACAGAGATGAGCTGTTTATCGAACTTTGTTAACTCGAACCCCGAGTTAATGAATTTCGAGTTAATAAAGCTCGATTTAACGAAGCTCGAGTGAACAAAGTTCGAGTTAATTAACCTTGAGTTAACGAAATTCGAGTTATTGAAGTTCGAATTAACGAGTTTTACTAGCTTTCGATCTCACAAGTGCAGCTCCTGCTGTTTTTTTCTTGAACATTCCCAATTCCACGATCACGAATTTTGAACTCCTTTTTACTCAACGCTGCGAAAAGCGAATGGTTTATATAGATCTCATTCAAACACCAACCTCTATTCACAAAATTCCAATAGTCACCAACCTACATTTCATATAATAAACTCTGCCATCCACGTTTCCCATATATCCTCCCCATATCGACATCAAAATGATATCGTTCAGGAATCAACCGTGTGTAATGTGGGATCGCCTCCATCATTCATACGCCAGTCGGGCAAACTCTTTTGACAAGAAGTTACAACCATACATTTACATCCTTTTAGGTTCCATATCGCAACGCCTTTTTCCACTTTGAGCTTATAACTGTTCCTGTCCCATAACAGAATTGACAAAATATTAAGTACCTGCATACAAATCACAATAATATCAATGTGGCAACACCTGGCGTGGACAACCTGTGTCACACTTGTAGAAAGTGACTGCGGCAGACGGAATTTGAGTAAACGGGAAAAGCGTGATTCATATACAATTGGAAATGATATGTGATGATTATTGAAGAATGTATAGTGAAACCTATATATTTTTTAGCAAGATCAGAGGTGTATCTTGTTTTCTGTGAACGTAGTATTGTTAGGGACACGTGGTCTGACCATTGAAAGTATCTACGTGTTTCAATTACAGTAAACTACGGTTATAACGAACTAAAAGGGACCACTAATTTTAGTTCGTTAAAACCGTAGTTCGTTATACGCATTTACAGCCCATATACAGCAAATGGTCGGAACCAAAAACAGTTCGTAATATCCGTCAGTTTGTTATAAGCGTGTTCGTTATAAACGTAGTTTACTGCATATATTTTGTACAAGGTCCAAAGTACAGTGACGCCTCGTTAAGTCGAAGTCTTAGGGACAATCGTATATATCGAGTTATCCGGAATCCGATACAAATGGGATTCGATATTTGAGATGGAAAAGAATGTATTGATATTGATATGTAACTCTTCTTTAAATTATCACACATAGTTTGACAACACAAATTATAATGTAACAAATGAGAGTTAATTCCATAAATTATGTTATGTAATAGATTGAAGAAACACATTTATTCGACACATACAACCTCGGCTTTCGAAGTCATAGTGCATTATGCGATGTATGCGAATTAATTCGAGCTAACCAAGCTATATTGAACAGGGATTACAAACACTTAAAAGATCATTAATATGGGAAGATAATAAGTAGTTTGATATATGAATACAAACTGTTATGATTATAGTGAACATTGATCAATTATTTATCGCAATACGTCATTATTAACATTATTTGTTCGTGTACAAGTGATTACGTCATGATTTTTAGCCATCTGTAAGCTGATTGGTTGGTTGGTTTGTTGTTTAACGCCGCACTCAGCAATATTCCAGCTATATGACGGCGTTATCTGTAAACTGAATATACCTTGGCAGTATATTAATACTACACAATTTTAAAATGGTATAATACAATATCTTTACAAAGACCAAAAAATATATGAAAACATATTTTATTTATGTCTTAATTTCTCATAGGTACAATGTGTGAAGCCCCTTTCTGGTGTTCCCCGCCGTGATGTTGCTGGAATATTGCTAAAACCATATTCACTCACTCGCTTAATTTCTCAATTGCAAAATATAGTTTCGTTTAATGAGGTTAGTAAAGGTTATCTTGGAAGCACAGAAGGACAACATACACCATTCAATCAGACAAAGCTAAACATGTGCAAAATCAATATAGTTGCTTTTGTAGAGAATTTAATATCCGTTAAAACTGTATTTTTATATCATGGGGTTCAATGACCCGTGGACGATGAAATGTCACAGGCGCTAACCTTTCGCTCAAATGTCACGCATTGTTTTGTTTTTTTCATCACGAAGGAAATCAGCTCTTTGATGAGACATGAATCCTTTGATCGAACAAGAACGAGATGCTGTTATCAACACTATATCAGCTGTCAATAATGAAATGAGGGACAGGGGAGTGTGTCAATTTGTGGTCAGTTCCTTTGTTGGAGGATATAAGTGCATCTAACCATTTTGTTCTCAGCGTTGATGTTTTGAGCTTGAATGGACAAGGCGGCATTACATCTTTGTTAAGTTTACTAAGATATCAAATTCAATGTATTTGAACTTTGATAACATTTGCCTGATATGAACATAATTTACTTATGATATATTTTTTTTTAAATCAAAGCTCATCGGTTCTTCTAGATGGATATCTTTGCCTTAATAAGCAGCCTTGTACATTTGAAAAGCCTTGAAAAGATTAAAATATACTATTTCGCAACAAATAACACAAAGAGTATTCCAAATTTGAAGTGATAAAAAGATATTCATTAAATCTTAATTGCAAAACAAACGAATATTTTTTTTAACGATTCAAATAAAATAATCTAGTTACTACAAAGCACAATACATGAAGCACAAAGGGAATATTTTTTATGAGATCATATTAAATCTTTTTATTCAAAAAATTATTAATGAACTGCGAGCGGTTCAGTGCAGCATGAATGTCACACTATGTCGTAAGCATGATGTCGACAGTCGTTCGACATCACAAGAAATCTGTCTCTAAATTCGTTTGGTAAAGCATGAAGAAGTGTTTATTAACTTTAAAAAGGAATAAAGCGCAGTTAAGAATTATACGAGTTTCTTAATATTTTGCAAATTACATAGATCGTTCGAGTTTTGGCTTTATTGATGTAATCCCCTGGACTAAGTCTATTCGACGGTAACAATATCCTCTATTCGAAATATTAATCCAATTCCCGTTGAGTATACTAACTATACTGAACTAAGTATACTAAATTTTATAGTGAAGCTCATAACCATTCTTAAAGAACTAAAGTTACAACGCAGTGTGTATTAAAGGGTAATCGTACAGACAGGTTTATTATATTCCCATGTAAGCATATTGGATAAAGAAATTGATATTTGCATAATGGTGATTCTACAAATGTGCAACACCGGCTCAGGTAAATATGTTCCAAAATGGGTATCTGAATCCAATATGCCACTTTCTTTTAATTTTAACTATTTTCAAAAGTCAGAACCGTACTCGCTACATAAAAAACTACATCTAATATGGTTAAAAACTATTTCTTTCGAACAAAGCTAACCCTTTCCTATGCATGACATTAAGGTTTACAAGCGGCGATTTAATGAAATGTGCATATTTTACTGAATGATAACACCTTAGCTTTCTGCTAATGACAGTGATCTAAACATCAGAGATACGCCTTTCATCACGATCAAGTGATCTTATAACCAAATGTCATAGTCAGGGGTTCAACGGAAGGGAATTCAGCGGGTAAACGTCAGTTTTAAGTCCGTACTAATCTACCAGTCCTTGTTCACTGGAAATTCCAGGAAATGTGGCGTTGCATCTTGTATCCCTTTTTTAATTCTGGCAATTTTCTATCAATTCCTTAGTAATATCACATCAGAGATGAAATCTAAATTACACTCGGGACAAAGTGAAAACGAGGTTACCGGAAGCTTGGGGTTAAATGTCAA